TTAAATAAATTACTAAAACTCCTGAGATGAAATATCACAGCCATTAAAAGGCTTTGAAAAATATTTAATAATATAGGGAAATATTCACAGTAAATTAGCAACAAAGATAATGGACAGTCTGATTAGACCTAGGTGAATGTGGAATAGGGGTAGCTGGCATTTATTGAGCTCCTACTGCATGCTTTCCATTGTGCCATGGGCCCTCCATGATTCCTCTCTGGTAATCCTATGTCAATCCAGGAGCCAGGTTGTTTTCTTATCCCCATTTTTCATATGTAAAGACTGAGGTACAGAAGTGAAATATCTCTCCCAAGAGCATACAGTGTAATCTGTCGCCCTCAGGGCAGAAGGTGGGACATGCTCATAGCTCGAGGTCACTAAAAGTCCTGCATTTCTTTTAATAATTTAGCTCTTAAAGAGTGATTTTATTTATTTGAAGGGCAGAGTGACCTAGAGAGAAGGAGTGTCAGAGATATTCTATTTGCTGGTTCACTTCCCAAATGGCTGGGCCAGGCCAAAGCCAGGAGCCTGGAGCTCCATCCAGGTCTTCCACAAGGGTGGCAGAGGCCCAAACACTTGAGCCATCCTTGCTGCTTTCCCTGGGCACATGAACAGGGAGCTGGATGGCAAGTGGAGCAGCTGGGTCTCGAACCTGCGCTCTAGTATGGGATGCCGTTGTCGCAGGCAGTGGCTTAACCCACTGCAGCACAACTTGGCACTACAGAAGAGCAGCTTCTTATGCAGCCATCGTAACAGTATCATCAGGCAGCCCGTGGAGAGTACTAACAGGTGGGACCTTGAAGAGGTGCCTAGGCTTGTGAGTGGGGTGAATGTCCCAACAGCATGCTCAGGCCCCTGCCGCCTTTGCTCTTCCCCTCTTCTGCCATGTGCATCCAGAGCTCCTCTTGCCCTTGCACTTGGCGCCGTGGGTGGATGTGGCACTCAAGGCACCATCTTGGAATCAGAGTAGCCGAACCTCCAGGGCCTTAACACTTGGCGGCCTCTGGAGTGGGGCCCATACATTTCAGTTCATAATAAATTACCCGTCTCAGGCACTCTGCTACAGCAGCATAAAACAGAGCGAGACCCATGCCTTCAGGTTGGGAGAATTTGGTATGAGAACTCGGCTGCAGGCTTGGGCCCTGGGTGACCTGGTCAGCCCCTTGTGTCACTCTTCCTCACCCTGTCTTTCTTCTTTTGTTCTCCCCAACACCCTGCATTTAATTCTCTGGTGAAGACACACCTCTTCCTCTGCTTTGCTTCTCTTGTTTTGGGGAGGGGAGCTTGGGGAAGCAGAGAGTGGGGTTACTGGTGCAGGAAGGCCTCAGCGCTGGGCCTGTGGGGGAGGGAAGGTGAGTGAGACCTGCTCCTTGTGTCCGTGGAGCTCACGTGTGGCACTGCAGGGCCTCAAGGCCCAGGGCAACCGGGTGCAGGGCTTAAGGAAGGGGGGACTCAAAGATGGTACTGCAGCCCCATACCCAGGGCTGCGGGTACTGTGGGCAGAGGCAGGCATTTTTGAGGGGTGGGAGATGAGGATGCGGTTAGGACGGGACAATGACTTGGGAGGCAGGTGGGTCAGGGTTTGCCCAGGTGACTCGGGTGAGCAAGCAGCACCCGTGGTCAGACAGCAAGGTGGCAGCAGGAACCTCCACAAAGCACCCAGACTGCTTGACTTTCCTCAGAAGCCTGGCACTGTCCGGCCAGGCGGGCACGCAGCCTGGCACCCCACTCATTCTCTGCTCTGCCCGCCCATCCCTTCTGGAAACCTGACCACCTCCTCTGGCCTTCTCTGGTCATTTACTACGGGCCCTGTCAGGGGAGCATCGGAACGCAAATGCCCTCAAGGGTGTCCACTGAGGCAGTGGTGTCCGCACGAGGGTGGGCTGCCTCCCTCCTTTCATCAGGAATCTTGGGCCAGAAGGAGCCAGCTGCCTTCCCCGGCAGGGCCCAGGGGCTTGGTGAGCGGACTCTGCCTGTGTCTCCTCTCATCCACTGACCAGCTCTTGCTGCAGGAAGTTCTCACTGCCAGATCCCATTCTCCCCCTCAGGCTGCTCAGTGACCTCCCCCTTTCCCTGGGGGGATTACTTATTTATTTGAAAGGCAGAGAGAGAGAGAGAGAGAGATCCTCCATCTGTTGGTTCACTCTCAAATGGCCACAGCAGCCAGGTCTGGAAAGGCCAAAGCCAAGAGCCAGGAACTCCATCCTGGTCTTCCACATGGGTGGCAGGGGTCCAAATACTTGGGCCATCTTTCTGTTGCCTTCCCTGGCACATGTACAGGAAACTGGATCAGAAGTGGAGCAGCCAGGACTGGAACCAGTGCTCTGATATGGGATGCCAGCATTGCAGGCGGTGGCTTAACCTGCTGCGCCATGACACCAGCCCCTCAGCCCCTTCTTGGAAGCACTTCCTCTTAGAAGGCTCTATTGGGCTGATTCTAACTCTTGGCCATGACCGTCATCTTGCGAGATCAAGGTGGGAACTTGCCTCTGTGTTTTCCCCACCATACACGGCACCTTTAGCCCTTCTTGCTCCCTCTGCTAGATTCTTCTTGGATCCCTCTGGGGGTGGGAGGGGAAAGCACTCCTTATTGATTAGGTAATGAGCTGGGCACTTGACAGCCCTTTCCTCTGTTGGGCCCCTGGGCATCTCTCTTCTGTGGTGTTACATTTTCTTCATACGGAGAAGGATCCTGGCCCAGACAGCTGTCCTGGCTCTTCAGGATGGCCAGACCAAGCGATGTTTGCAGCTGGTCTCCCTGGCCACAGAGCCCCTGTTTGCTTTCCGTCGTGGGTTGAATTTTGTCTCCCAAAAAGAAATATTGAGGTGTAAGAGGCCTTATATTGAAACCAGGTCTCTGCAGATGGGGTCTGGGTCAGGTGAGGTCATTCTGGATGAGGCTGGACCCTGCTCGAATCTCTGCTGTCCCCATAAGCAGAGAGGATTTGGAATAGAGACAGTGACAGAGGCAGTCCAATGAGCGACGCCTCCATAATCCGTGCCAAACCACAGATAGCACGCAGCCACCAGGTGCGGGAGGAGATGCATAGAACAGGTTCTCCTTCAGGGCCCCCTGACGGAACCAACACCTGGACTTTGTATTTCTGGCCCCCAGAACTGTGGGAAAATAAATCTCTGTTGTTTGGTGTTACCCAGTAATTGATTAAGGTGGTCCTGGGAAATTGATTGTTTACTATACCTCCCTGAATCCCAAGAAGCATATCTCCTCTTCTCCACTTCAAACCAGGAGATTCTCCCAGAATCTCTTGGTCCCTTTTCTCTGGGGCCAGCCTGGATCTGGTCAAGAGGCTGCCGTGTGACTCCGAGAGCCGCGGCACGAGGCGGGAGAGGACAGTGGGGGAAGACACAGTGGCTTCCTCTTGGGACCACCAAAAAAGACTGTGTGGAGGCAGAAGCGTGATAGACATCGGAGATGTGGGAGGAAAGTTGATTTGAGGAGGGAGGGGGAGCAGTCAGGGAAAAGCTCGTGGCGTCAGGAGGCTGGGTGCCTGTTGCATTACAGCTGCTCGCTGACTGTCGGTAAAGGAACAGGGAAGAATGTAGGGTTGAAGCGATCCCATAGCACAGAAACCACCATCCACTTGCTGGATGCGAGCTAGCTTTAGGCAGGAGCATCATAGGCTAAATTAGTTTGAGTGAGCTGCCAATGGCCTACACATGGTGCCATGGCGGGAAGTTCCTCTCTGGTTCTAGAAGTCTTGGGTTCTGGCTTGAACTCTACTGCTTCCTACGTGGGTGGGTCTGCAAGAGTCGTTTCAGTTCCATCATTTGAGAAATGGAGGTGGTCAATGTCTCTGGCCTTATAGAGTTTTAAAGGGAAGAACGGCAGAGAATCTGGAAGTGGGAAACCAATAGGAACCTGGACTGCAAAGCACCCTGTGGGCACAAAGTGGCGTGTTTGTGGCTGTGGCTGGCCAGTCGCTTCACCGTTCTGTAATTGTCTCATACACATCCCGGCCTTTGAGCCTTTGCTCTTGGAAACTGCTTCCTGTTAGCATTAGACTTGGGTACAGGCGATGGAAGACCCACCTGGCACACCAGCGTTCCTCTCTCTCCCAACAGTCCTAAGGCTGGTCCTGGAGGCCCAGGATCCCTCTATCTTGCTGCCCATCTGTGCCTGGTTGCCATTTCCAAGGGTACCTGACAGCTGAACATTAGCTCCAGCCTTTACATCCGCGTTTCAGCAAGGAGGAAGGAGAGAGCGAGCGCAGGCATCCTGCCTTTAGGGACACTCTCTGGGAGTTGCAAGTGCCACTATTTTTTTATTTATCCCGTTGGTGAGAACTGAATCCCATGGACACACCTATCTTCTGCAGAAACCGGTGGCTGTGGTTTTTATTCTAGACAGCCATGTCACCCTCCCCAAAGAAGATTTGGGGGAGAACCAGCATTTCTCTCATTCCCTTACATTTTTTTGCTGGGTTCATATTCATTCCTCACGATGCAGTCATGTGCATTGGCAAAATAAGGAGTTATATTGGGCAGTTCACAGTGTACTCTGCTCGTGCCAGGAAGTGAGCTAAATGTTTCGCCCGGATTATTTCACTAAAGCTGCACCACAGCCCCTCGTGCTGGGCACTCCCCCTGTGTCCATGCTCCAGATGACAGACGCAGCTCCAAGCCATAAAGGGTCATCGCAGAGCTTTCCTAGGAAGCCAGCTCGGGGATGGAGATTAGCAGGGCAAGATAAGCGGGCAGGATGTGCATTCGAGCATGTCTGGGAAAGGGAAGGGATGGCAGTGGGACAAGACAGAGGGACAGGTTGAGCTTCGATTCGGTTCCAATAAAGACCTGCGCTCACTCCCCAGGGAGCTCCAGGGCTAGGAGAGCCTTGCAGAGTTGTTCCAAGTTGGCACTAGGGGGACCCCTATGCTGGTCACTCTGGCTGTTGGCTGCCCCGGAAGGGAGCCTGACCTTGGGCGAATCACTCTCTTTGGCTGCAGCAATCCCCGGAGGAGGCTGATGTCTAAGGACTCTCCCTTCATTCCCAAAGCAGATCCTGGAGGGACCGCAGAGTCCCCCGTGTAAAGTCACTTGATTAAGCTCCCACTGAGTAGCAAGTGACAGAGCCGGGACGGAGAGCCCCAGGCCACCTGACTCCAGCACTTGGGCTTTTCCTGCTGTTCCAAGGCTGGCAGTGGTTGAAAGTCACAGCTAGCAAGTCGAGTCCATAACGAAGCATCCTCACTTGTGTTCCAGATCTGTTTGCTGTGTCGCCTTCCACGTTTCCTCCCTGTGTTCCTCGTTCTTCCTTCTGTCAGCCCGCCCTCTGCCCGCTGGGTGGGGGTCTGAGGGCGTGGCTGCAGCCCATGAGGAAAGCCAAGGCTTACCCCCCACGGAGATGCTAGCATTGGGGCAGGACGAGAGGGTCCAGGGGTACTGCTCTGGGGGTCCCATCTGTAAGTGCCATGCCATGGGGCTTGGAGGAAGGGCAGGTCACCTGGGGCTGGATCGTACCCATGCTCCTGTTCCCTCTCCCCCAAACATCACAGGCTCCTGGAAGCTGGGGCAGCGTGTTCTCCTTTTCCAGCACCCACGAGGGGCCCCGTAAGCAGGGAGGTGTTTTAGAGCCTCAGAACCGGTGGAGGACGGCTGAGTTTTCTCATCGCAGAGATGAGGAAGCAGAGGCCCCAGGGGATGCGTCCGGGGGGCAGGAGCTCGGCTGGCCCGAGGACCTGGGGCTCCCAGCTCCCGGCTTACCCGCCCCTCGCACTACTCCTGCTGAACGAGGAGCGGCTGGAAGAGGTCTCAGGCTGCGCATTGCTTTCTCCCATCTCAGGGCCATCAGCGTCACAAGGAGGAAAGGAGACAGGACGCTGGACTGGGGCTAGACAGGCCCCGGAACCCCACAGAACACCCTGGAACTGGGTCCTCCAGGCCTGAGACAGATGCCCCAGGGGAGGCAGGGGTTGGGGGGAAGGGGCGGGAGGAGAGCACAAAGGCTCTCTCTCTGGGGCTTGACACCTGGCACTGCGGACAAGGCCGGGTTGGCTGGGAAGATTTAGGATGATTCTGTAGGAAGCCAGAGTGTAATAAGCTTGGATCAGCCCGTTCAAGATACAGAAAGCTTTTGCCCACCGCCCGAGAGAGGCTCCCTTATACACTGTAACCTGCATCTTCCTCCTGCAACATCTTAGCCCCACGGAGCCATAAAACAGTCTGGCCTAAGTTACCGAGCCTCTTTGAAGTCCTGGAGTGGCCCATAAATAAGGTAAGTACTTTGGGAGGGGTGGGGGCTCATTTTGAGGGGTTCCTACACAGCTCTTTCAGGGCTACATTGATTTGTAGCTGCCTCTAAGTCAATTTCCTGGGGCTCGTAAATCCTGATTTGAGCAAAACTAAAATGTCATCAATATTTATTTGATGCATTTCTTACCACTCCATTGGAGAGGAAGGCGGTGGGGCTGGTTGCGGAGGGGGATGTCAACATTCTCACCCGCCACCCCGTAGCAGGTACGGGACACGCCACTCCCTGGCTGCACACAGACCCTTTCGTCCCGAACCATAAACCCTGGGCAACAAATGTACCATTTCATGGTCAGCAAGAGCGGTAACTGTCACTGGAGAAGTAAAACTGAGTTATTGTTTCCAGTTTCAAAAGAACAGCAACAAGTACAAAAAAAACTGTATGTGATCCCGTCCTCTTCCCCTTAGACACCTGCAGCCAGCTAATGTTTCACTGAATCCTGCCACATAAATGCATAGCTTCACTCACTAATCCATATGGCTCCAGAGACCACTGTTACATGAGAACTTAAACTGATGGGGCCAGGCAGCCCAGGGCAGCTTAATCTTTTTTAATTCAAATCGACTGAGTCCCATGTGGCCCGGAGATGATACCCTATATGCTGCAATCAGACTGACCTGGACTTCTCGTGCTCTAAATGATTAATGAAACTGCCTCGAGTTGGTTTCTATGGTGATTGGAAACCCGAGCCGGGCAGAGGAATCTGCCATTCACTGCGGTGAGCTGAACGGAAGGGGGGCACAGGGCGCCGGGGTGGGGGGTGTCCCTGGCCGCTGGTCGTGAGGATGCCCGAATGCCTCAAGCACCTCCCCCAGGCCTGCTGCTGTGGGCTCGGAAACCACAGCGAGGGGAGAGAGGAAGGAAATGGTCCTCAACCCGCTCTCAAAAAGCCCCAAACCTCTAAGGCTCCCTGAAGCAGATGGCCAAGGAAGAATCAAGGGGAGATGGCGTTTAATTCAAATTGTGTTTCCTAAAAATCAGCACATGGATGAAGAAAGCCGTGAAGCCTGTCAGTCTTTCTTTTCAATGAGTGGTTTCGCCTATGTGAGCCCTACAAAAGCAGCTGGACACCTTGCAGTACCCGTGTCTTCTCTGGTCCTGGCTGGTTTTAGCTCTTCTTCATTTGAAAGAGGTCCTATCTGGGCTTCACATAACCTTGTGGTCACAACTGACAGAGGCCAACTGAGCGGAACTGGCAGGATCAGCGGCTGGAGAGAGAGGAGGGAGGATGGATTAGCACCTAGGCTCACCTGCTGACGCCTGGCAGGAGGCGGGCCCTGCTCTAGGATGTAGCCTTCAAACCCCAGTGCCTCAGCTCCATGAAGTCCCGAACCTTGAGAGGCGTCACACAGGGACAGCCAGAGGGCAAACTTTGTCATCTTAAAATCTGAGCCCTGATCTGCTGTGGCTATTGAATGAGGGATGCCAACTACAGAAGCTTTCTTTTGGAAGTCATCAAAGGTTTTTATTTATTTATTTTTTAAGATTTACTTATTTATTTGAGAGGTTGAGTTATAGACAGAGGGAGAGACAGAGAAGTCTTTCATCTGCTGGTTCACTCTTCAAATGGCTGCAATAGGCAGAGCTCAGCGGATCTGAAGCCAGGAGCCAGGAGCTTCTTCTGGGTCTCCCACATGGGTGCAGAGGCCCAAGGACTTGGGCCATCTTCCACTGCTTTCCCAGGCCATAGCAGAGAGCTGGATCAGAAGAGGAGCAGCTGGGACTTGAACTGGTGCCCATATGGGATGCTGGCACTGCAGGTGGAGGCTTAGTCCTCTACACTGCAGCGCCAGCCCTCAAAAGGTTTTAATTAGGAGAATAACACAGCCAGATTTGCACTTTTTTTTCTTTGAGAGGCAGAGAGACAGAAACAGACACAAAGAACTCCCATCCACTGGTTCATCCCCCAAATGCCAGCAGTGACTGGGGCTGGGAGAGGCCGAAGCCAGGAGTCCGGAACTCAATCCAGGTCTTGCACATGGGTGGCAGGACCCAGCTATGTGATGTATCTCCTGCTGCCTTGCAGGATGTGCAGTAGTGGGAAGCCAGAAGTGGGAGTGGAGCTCGGTACTGAACCCAGGCGCTCCAAAATAGACATGGGCACCAAGTAGCCTCTCAACAGCTGTGCCAAGTGCCCACCCCTCTTCTGACTGGTCAACATTATTCCTGGCATGCTTTCCCCTCCCTACGATGAAACCCCTCCCAGGAAATGCTTCCTTCCTGAGAAGAGAAGCAGCCCACCCCCAGGGTTCACACAGGTGTTTGCAGTCCTGGTAGGGATGGCTGAGAGGGACTTGGACGGGAACCCCAGGGAGGAACATCAGAGGCCTCCATGCTGCCGGGAACATCTTCCTGCGCTAGCCAGGGCAGGGCCACCTCCGTCAGGGCAGTGGGCTGGGCACACACCCCTTGTGCCAGGAGCGTGGGAAGCATTTCCAGTCAGCACAGCACTGCGTGGTCCAGCCCAGTCACAGCTCCAGGCCTGGTGCCCACGTCCTCCGTCTGACCCACACCTTCTCCAGTCTCTCCCCACTGCCAGCTTTAATCCCCTCCCTGGAGTCACCCTCCTTTTCCATGGGCCATGACTCTTGTCATCATCTTTACCCTTCCCCCTTCCCTTCTTCCTGGGCCCCTGCTCTTTTGTAGTTCCCATTAGATAACCCGGTAGAAACTCCCAAATTGCCAGGATCCAAAATCGCAAACACGATCCCGACTCCATCACCATGAACAATGCAAGGACCCTGGGCAGGAGCCAGTGCCTGTGCCCCTGCACTTGATGACCTGAAACCTACCTTCGTCTTACTTGGGGGTGACGTCCATGGCCTCGAGGGTCAGCTGTGCCCTGCTGTCCTGGCTCCCTCTCCTTGGGGGTCATTGCCACTTGGAATTGTTGACTTCACGAGCTGGGAGTGCCAGACGGCCCTCAGACCTTCCCTGTTGCTGATGACGAAGCAGGGCTGGGTGCTGTTTGGGGCCAGCTTCCCTGTGTCCCCCTGTGCTGGCCTGCTCATGCTGCTGGCAGCCAGCTGTGCCACACCTGTCAGGCAGGGCCCTCCTGCTGCCCACAGCAGGGGAAGGTGAGCCCGGGGAAGGGCGGCCAGTCTCTCCCCACCCAGTTAGGCCCTCCCACAGCAGGCAACAGGTGAGCGACCTAGGCCCTATCCGACTCCTGTGTGGGGTGGATGTCCCGTGTGCCCACTTTGTTCCCTGAAGACACAGGTGGCAAAATGGGTGTGGGGCCCTGGCGGGGAAGGGTTGGAATCCAGACACCTGGGTGCAGAGTTCAAGGGCACAGTAGGTCAGCACGTGGCGACTGTCTCTCCTGGCAAGTGACAGCCCCAGCGAGTATGTCCCCGGCACAGTTTCTATTTTACCAAGTTGCAGACCCCATCCCAAGCTCCTAGAAGCCCCCTCTCACTCTCCCCAGCCCTGCCTCCTCACTGGTTGAACGGGCAAAGCCTCAGTCCCCATTCCTTGTCTCCCGTTGACCACCCTGTCCCACCTCGAAGGTTACCAATCCTAACTGCACATTTTTCTCCAATTGCTTTTTATTGGGAAGGGTTTAGAGAAGTCCTGTGGCCTCTTTCTAGAAGGTTCTTCCCCAGAAGCTGTGCATACTCTGTCCAGGTCCCGGCCTGACAGGTGGGGCTGGCTGACTAGGGACTGAGTGGCTGAGGTGAGGAGACGCCTGGTGCAGGGAGGGCAGCCACGGACATTCAGGCAGGCAGAGAGTGGAATTCAATCTGACACTGATACGTGTGCAGAGGGACTGGACAGACAGCCACGGCCTAAAATTAGAAGCCGCCTGTCGCAGGAGGGCAGAGCTCAGGCTCCTGTGACCGCCTGGCTTAGAGCTCCATGCCCGCCGCTTCCCAGCCCAGGACCACTTGGTGCCCCCGGCCCCTCACCCATGCGGCACAAGGCCTAGCAGCACAGAATGCACAGCGCAAATGAAATGGTCAAAGTTCTAGCAGATACACAGGAAAAAACCAGGTGAAATTAACTTTTAACAATGTATTTCACTAGACCTAATATAACCAAAGCTTTGTCCTTTCAACGTGTAACCAATACAAAAAATGGCTAAAGAGACATTTTAGTTTTTCCTCCCCACTCTGATGTATGCTTTATACATATAGCACATCTCAATCCAGGCACACAGTGTCATCGGAAGTGCTTGGTCGTATTTAGATTTTGTCAAATTGACACCTGCAAGGGGCCAGCATTGTGGTGTAGCAGGTAAAGCTGTTGCCTGCAGCACTGGCACCCCATATGGGTGCTGGTTCAGCTCCCAGTCCAGCTCCCTGCTGGTGTGCCTGGGAAAGCAGTGGAAGATGGCTCAAGTGCTTGGGCCCCTGCCATCCACATGAGAGACCTGGAAGAAGCTCCTGGCTCCTGGCTTTGGCCTGGCCCATCCCCGGCCTCAGGACCATCTGGGAAGTGAACCAGTGGATGGGACATCTCTCTCTCCCTGTGTCTCTCCCTCTAGAACTCTGACTTTTAAATAAATAAAAAATATTGGGGCCGGCACTGTGGTGCAGCAGGTTAAAGCCTTGGTCTGAAGCACTGGCATCCCATATGGGCACTGGTTCAAATCCCGGCTGCTCTATTTCCAATCCAGCTCTCTGCTGTGGCCTGGGAAAGCAGTAGAAAATGGCCCAAGTCCTTGGGCCCCTTCACCTGCATGGGAGACCTGGAGGAAGCTCCTGGCTCCTGGCTTCGCATCGGTGCAGCTCTGGCCATTGTGGCCATCTGGGGAGTGAACCAGCAGATGGAAGACCTCTCTCTCTCTCTCTCTCTCTCTCTCTCTCTCTGCCTCTGCCTCTCTGTAACTCTGCCTTTCAAGTAAATAAATAAAAACAAACAAAAATAAATCTTAAAAAAAAAAAAAAGGTGAAGTAGATTCATATATCCAAGGTGTTCCAAACAACTTCCCAAGTCCTGAAGGCGGGGTTCACTTTAAAATTAAATTTAGTGGCCGGCGCTGCGGCTCACTAGGCTAATCCTCCGCCTTGCGGCGCCAGCATACCGGGTTCTAATCCCAGTCGGGGCGCCGGATTCTGTCCCGGTTGCCCCTCTTCCAGGCCAGCTCTCTGCTGTGGCCCAGGAGTGCAGTGGAGGATGGCCAAGGTACTTGGGCCCTGCACCCCATGGAAGACCAGGATAAGTACCTGGCTCCTGCCATTGGATCAGCGTGGTGCGCCGGCCGCGGCGGCCATTGGAGGGTGAACCAACGGCAAAAAGGAAGACCTTTCTCTCTGTCTCTCTCTTTCTCACTGTCCACTCTGCCTGTCAAAAAAATTAAATTTAGCTAAAATTACATAAAGATTCAGTTCTTCAGATGCACCGGCCACAGTTTAGACGCTCAGAAGCCACATGTGATAGCACAGGTCTAGGAGTTGCTGTGGGCATTTCAGGCACAAAGAAGCTAACGGCACAGAGACCCTGGCATCAGCTCGGGCTCGTTCCTAGCAGGTAGAAGTGGGCAGAGTGTGTGGGGACAGGGGGTGACGGGACTCTGTCCATCAAGAGCAAGTGCTTACCAGGTCCCCCCTCCCCCCTAGCCTGCTGCTGCCCCAGCCTCCTGGGACACAGGCATGAGTTAGTGAGGAAGAAAGGGTCTCAGCTCAACACATTTACTGGGATTCTGTTCATACAAATTAGCCCTTTCTGCCTGTCGGGGAGAGATCGGCTGAAGGGTGATTGCGCCCGACCTTGGCATTTGCCTGCTGTGGGAAACTTCCCTGCCCGCTCTCTCTCTTGGGGCTGCACAGCTGCTGAGACTTAGGGAGGGCTCAGGGAACTCAAGTCGCTTGCCCATGGCCACCATCTTTTCAGGGAAGGAGAGGCTGAGAATATCAGATATGCAGGCAAGGGGCGTGTCTCGGAGTGGGCAGGAGGGGTGCTCAGAATGTCAGACGCCACCTCGCACTAGCACCACATCTGGAGTGTCACCAGAGAGAAGCGAGCCCACAAGAGTTTGGAGTGAGTCTCCCGCTCCATCTTGGCCCATTATGTCAGGGAGGGCATGGGGGAGGGAACTGCTAAGTCATTTATTTATTTAAAATGGAGATTTATTTGAAAGGCAGAGCAACAGAGAGGGTGGGAGAGTTTTTTCCTGTCTGCTGGTTCACTCCCTAAATGCCCACAACAGCCAGGGCTGCGTCAGGCTGAAGCCAGGAGCCAGGAGCTCCACTTGGGCCTCCCACATGAGTGGCCGGGACCTGACTACTAGGGACCACCACCTTCTTACGGACACTGGCACTCGGATGTGGGATGCCGGCGGAGTGAGCAGCCGGCCCCTTCGCTGCTTCAGAGGCGGGCAGAGACCTCTGCCCTGGGACTGATTCTGTGTGAAGAGGTGCCAGTCCACACCGGCAACAAGGGGGCTGGGCTAGGCAAAGTGACATTTGCCTTTTGGGGTTACACATATAGATTAGGGAGACAAATCGCCCAGGTCTGAATTCTACTTTACCACTTAAATTATTTCACGTAAGGCAGGCGTTTGGGCAGTGGCTAAGATGCCACAGGGTGCCTGCCTCCTTTAGGAGTGCCTGGTTTGAGGCTTGGCTCCGCTCCTGGTTGTGGCCCTTGCCAATGCATGGTCCAGGAGGCCACAGTGATGGTTCAAGCAGTTGGGCCCCTGCCACATACGCGGAAGACCCAGATGGAGTTTCAGGCTCCCAGCTTCAGCCTGGTTGATTCCTGGCTGGTTCAGGCATTTGAGGAGTGAACTAGAGAATGGGCGATCTCTGTCTCTCTATCTGCCTTTCAAACAAAAGATAAATAAATATTCAACATATTTGTGGAGAGAAGCGCTTCCAGAGGGAGCTTTAACCCTGTTAGAAGATGGGTTGTAAGCACTGAAGGTCTGGACTTCAGTGGCAGGTGACGGCTGCTAACCTGCCTGAGACGGTGAAGGAGGCTGGGGGACAAACTGATTTGCTGGCTGGGGGCAAGGCTGGGCGACTTGCCCTACCACGCACCCTCCCCTCTGCTCTCTCCTCCACGTGGCTAGTGGCTGTCTCCAGCTATGACTTTCAAGAAGTAGCCAGTGACGAGCTGGCCCAGGACACCCCAAGACTCTGTCTGGCCCTGCCTGCTGGCTTTGTCCGGCTCTGCAGTGAACTTGGGGAGTGGCACACCTAGCTGGCGAGGAGGGAGACACAGCAGAGAATTCGGCCCAAGTTCAGCTATGTTAGACAAAAGCTCCTTCTATTTCGGTTTAGAGAACAATCCAGAAACACAAGCCACTCTTCAGAAGTCAGAGGAGTTGATGCCCGCTGAACCTCACTCACCGCCTCGGTCCCCGCAACAGCGATCGCCAGCCATGACGGAGGGTGGGGCGGAGTGGAGCGCGCCGGGATAAAACGGGGTTTCGAGCCGGAGCCTGGTGTCGGGGGCTGGTTTGGGCTGCTCACACAGCAGGCAGCGCGGGTTAACGTCTCCTGCTCCTGCAGTTCCCGGGGAGAGCCCGGCTCGTCCTCATTTCTGCTTCTGCGGGTTCCACCAGCAGCCCCTCCCTGCAGTCCCCCAGCATCTGGGCACCTGGGACGTGCGGGCGGACCGCTGACTGCGCCGAAGGCCAGCTTGTGTTAGAGGCTCGGCACTTCGCTCTGCCGGAGCCCTGAAGAACGCACCCAGGTTGTGCTGCGTCCGTGCAAGGCAGGACACTGTGGATGCCTCTGGAAAAATCCTCGCCTCGGCCAAGCTCCCGGACACGGGGCTGCCCTTCCCTCTGATCTGATTGCACAAGGCCCTAATTGCTCTACACCCTAATCAAATCTTTATTCACTTGTGGAGCCGTTGTGCTGTCAAGCAAATTAATAGCGATAATCGTGGCGGGGGTCAGAGCACTGAGCGATCACTCAGTTCACAGCTTGCCCGGGGCCCAGCTTCTGCCGCAGCCCCGGAGGCAGCCGCCTCTGGGGAGCGTGGAGCGAATGCGGGGCTGAAGTGCTTCGCACACTGGGATCGGACAGCTTGTGTTCACCGATGCCAGCTGCGTGACTTTGGGCGAGCGTCTTAACCCAGCTGCAGAATGGGGGCGCTGCCCATGAGAGTGCCCCAGGGGAGCCGATGCTGATACTGCCCGTCCGGGTCGGTATTGTTGGTCCCTGTTTGATAGGTGAGGAAGCAAAGCTACAGCGTGGTAGAGGAGCTCGCTGGGCCGCAGAGTGAGTAAGCGATATGCGAGTTGGAGTCCCTAGGGTCTGCCAAGCCCCGCTTGTAATCACCACCCTCCCCCACCGAGAGTACACATGTAATTATCTTTGCCCCAGGCACCATGCTGGTCAGTCCGCAATCAACCTTGCAGTCTTGCAAATGCGTCCAGGAGGCCAGTTCATTCCCTAGGCAGGGCTGGGTCAGCATGGCAGGGAGCGCTGGTCCACTGTCCAGCTGAGAAGGTTGCCCAGGGGAGGCCCCCGCCCAGTGGGAAGCGGTTAGGTAGGAGCAGGATCCAGAGCACTGGGGAGCTTTCCTGGAGTAGAAGTTCCACCTCAAACAAATGTAAACTCCGTGGGAACACATTTTCAAAAATCTGTTTTGTGTATGACTAGATATCAGAGCTCATACAGTATCTGGCACTTAGCAAGTGCTTAAAAAAAAGGTTTATTTGTTTGCTTGAAAGGCAGAGTGACAGAGAATGAGAGCGAGAGCGAAAGCGAGACAGAGAGAGAGAGAGAGAGAGAGAGAGAGAGAGAGGCTCCCATCCATTGCTTCCCTTCCCAAATGGTTACAACAACCATTGAGGCCACCTGGGGAGTGAACCAGTGGATGGAAGATCTCTCTCCCTCTCTCTCTCTCTCTCTCTCTCTCTCTCTCTTTCTCTCCTCTCCCTCTCCCTCTCTGTAACTCTGCCTCTCAAGTAAATAAATCTTAAAAAAAAAAAAAAAGACCTACAGCTAAACTATTAATGTAAAATTGTCTGATTTATTCAATACACTGAATAGGTTAGTCAAGTAACTCCCAAATCAAAAAATCATGCAAAGACATGTGAGGGTATTTCAAAAAACTTTGTGGAAAATGAAATTAAAAGATAAGTTTATTTTGGTGCAAAATATTTGAAATCTGCATATGAGCACCAGGTTGGCCCCGCCCCCATTTAATTTGTGCCCTTCTCGCAAAATGACAACAAAAAGGCAGCCCTGTGGTGAGTTTTTTGGACTTGTTTGTGGAGGCTTCAAAAATTTTTTTTTTTTGCACCAAAATGGATGTATCTTTTAATTGCATTTTCCAGGAACTTTTTGAAGTTCTCTGACGTATACTTCCAGAGATTTCTAAATCTACATCCTAGTAATTATTTAAAAGTATAAACTGCATTATTCTGTATACATAGTTCTGTATACATTTTGCTTTTTTTCGCTTAACAATATACCCTTCAAATCTTTCTAAATCAGTACATAAAGAGCTTCTTTTTAAAAAATTGTTCATTTGAAAAGCAGAATGAATGAGAGAGAGAGAGAGAGAGAGAGAGAGAGAGTCTATTTTCTGGCTCACTCCCCAAATCCCAAATGACCACAATGGGTGAGGCTAGGTCAGGCCAAAGCCAGGAGCTTTATCCGGGTTTCCCACGTGGGTACAGGGGTCCATACACTTGGGCCATCTTCTGCTGCCCTCCTAGGTGTATCAGCAGGGAGCTGGATTGGAAGTGGAACAGCCAGGATTTGAACCTGCACACTAAGAGAGGATTCCAGCCTGGAAAGTGACAGCTTAACTCACTGTACCACAATGCTGGCCCCAAAGCTTCATTTTTATTAAAATTGCATACCATTCCATTCTGTGGATGTACTGAATTTATTTAATGGGTTCCCCAATTGTTGGACATTTAAGTGTTTAAGTGGCTTCAGTCTTTCTCTATTACAAACTCTACTGTAATGAATTATCTGATATTTGGGCAACTGTAAATGTGCTCATGGAATCACTGCTATAGAAATAATATTTCTCTCTCTTTCCCTCTCTCTCTCTCTCTCTCACACACACACACACACACACACAGAGCAAGAGAGGGGGGGGGGGAGAGAGAGAGAGAGAAAGACAGTGGTGGGGGAGAGAGAGAATCTCCCTTCTGCTGGTTCACTCTCCAAATGGCCACAACAGGGTGGTCTGGGACAGACTGCAGCCAGGAGCCTGGAACTCCATCTGGGTCTCCTACATGGGTGTCAGAGGCCCAGGTACTCGAGCCATCACCCGCTGCCTTAGCTGGGTGTGCACTGGCAGGAAGCTGGAGTTGGAAGTGGAGCCGGGCCTTGAACCCAGGCACCCAAGCAGCTTACGCTGCACTAAGCAGCCAACCCAGCTTTGTGGGGGGTTTTTTGGTCAGCTTTTAAATGAAGCATTTTATTTTAAGATAATTATAAATTCATGTGCAGTTGTAAGAAATAATACCCTTCATTCAGTTTTCCCTAACTGGATATAAAACCATGTGTAATATCACAACCAGGAAATTGGCATTGACATAACCCACACATCTGATTCAGATTTCACTGGTGTTACACATGTGTATGTATTTAGCTTTATGCAATTTTGTCACCTATGTAGGCTCTTGTATTCATCACTGCAGCCAGGTTAGAACACTTCCGTCACCACCAGTTCCCACCTCCGGCCTCTTAGAACCACACCCACCTTCCTCCCTGGCCACAGCCTCTGCCCACCCTCATCCTGTCCCAAACCTCTGGCAACCTGGCAACTTTTTGGACCTAATTCTCCCTATCTTGCAATTTCAAGAGTTTTATCAAAATGGAACCATATAGTATATGATATTTTTTGGAATTAAAAATTACCTATTTGGTTGAAAGGCAAAGAGCTGGGGGGAAGGGCAAAAGAGGGAGGGAGGGAGGAAGGGAGGGAGGGAAGGAGGGAGGGAGAAAGAGAAAGAGAGAGAGAGACTCGATCTCCCTTCCACAGCTTCACTTTCCAAATGCCTGCAATGGCCAGAGCTGGGTTAGGCTAAAGTCGGGAGCCAGGATCTCCACCTGGGTCTCCCACATGGGCGGGAGGGACCCAGCTGCTTGAGGCCTCACTGCTGCCTCCCAGGGTGCCCGTTAGCAGGCGGCTGGAATGAGGAGTGGAGCAGCCCGTGAACCCAGCCACTCCCATGTAGGATGCAGACATCTTAACCAGCGTCTTTACCGCTCGACCAGATGCCTTCCCCATGGAATTGACTTTTTAAAATCAATATAATCCTGTTGAGATTCATCCGGGTAGTTCATGTTTCCACAGTGTGCTCCTTCTCGTCGCTGTGTAGTGTCCCGCCATTTGCTCCTTGAGGAACAACTTTCTTTCTTTCTATTTATTTATTTATTTATTTTTGACAGGCAGACAGAGAGAGAGACAGAGAGAAAGGTCTTCCTTTGCCGCTGGTTCACCCTCCAATGGCTGCTGCGGCCGGCGCACCGCGCTGATCCGATGGCAGGAGCCAGGTGCTTCTCCTGGTCTTCCATGGGGTGCAGGGCCCAAGCACTTGGGCCATCCTCCACTGGACTCCCTGGCCACAGCAGAGAGCTGGCCTGGAAGAGGGGCAACCGGGACAGAATCCAGCACCCCGACCGGGACTAGAACCCGGTGTGCCGGCGCCGCTAGGCGGAGGATTAGCCTGTTGAGCCGCGGCGCCGGCCCATGGAATGCCTTTCTTCCATTGTTGATGAGAAAGAATAAAGTTGCTGTGAACATTTGTGTATTTGTGGACAGGATTCTGTGGAAACCCAAGTTTCGTTTCTGGGCGCTCAGTCTCCAAGGGTACAGTTACTGTCACGTGGTAATTGTGTATTTCGTTTTATGAGAAATTGCAGAACTTTTCCAGGATGGCCGTACCATTTTTGAATTCCCACCAGCAATGCATGCACAGGCCTCCACCTTGTCTGTATCTGATGTCCTGTTTTCCTGTTTTGATATCCTTTTTGATAGCTGTATGCGTTACTCTCTGCATTTCTCACCACAATCTTCACCTGACTTTAAATCCAGGACAGCGGTAATCGCGCTTCCCTTTATTGAAGCCCTGCTGTCTCCAGGCACTGTCCCAGGTGTTCTGCCTATCTTTGCCTTGTTTCATTTCGCTTATTCCTCCGTGCAAGCCTGGCACACAGGCTAACGCTGGGCTCAGTTATTTCTAACGTGGCCGGTGGGGGGGTGGCTTCCAAAGGCAGCCTTTCTGCTCCCTTCCTCTGTTTATTCTTTTGTGTTCTCCCAGGCCAGTAAGGAAATGGGAACATCCAGGACCTTGCTGTTGACTTTGAGACAAGTGGAGGATGGATGGGAACAGGGCCTGAGAGCCCAGGAGCCCGAGGTGGGGAAATGGTGATGGGCTTTGGTTGGCTCCCACCATGTGGTTGGCTCCACCGCATGGTTCATGCCTACCACCTGGCCAGCAAAGCCAGTGGGCTGGGGGTGGTGTGGGGCAGGGTACTCTCCCCTGGTTGCCACCTGCTTTCTCAAGCCTTGGGCTCCAGCACTGGACCAAAAACGCCTTTGGCCTCCTTCATGCCTTAGCAGGATCCTTGTCACCTGCCCACAGCTTTCCTCTGGAAAATGAAAACCCTTCAGTGCTCCAGTCCTAAAC